AAAAATGCTATAGGGAAATGGATAAACTCAAGAATATGCGTAATTACAGGGGAATGGGTAACCTGTTGCTGTTGGTACCAGTTTTGTCTGGATGACTAAATAACATACAATATAAGTCTGGCACAGATTTTAGATGCAACCTTGGCCTTTTGCTGACAATTTTCCTGTGCCATTCTCATTTTTTAGCGCCAATGGCGCAGGCAGATCTCTGCATATTTCACCATTGTAGGCGATTAGCTCTCATGCAAAATGGACGCTCCGATTGGCTAATGCCGATAATAGGCGGTTACCGATCACAGGGATTTAATGTTTCAAGCAAATGGGGGATTAGTCTTGCACAAGTAAACATCGGAAATTAAATTATTCAACTAAAGAAATTGAAAAATTATTCAACTGATGAAATTAAAGTAATCAAACAGTACATAGAGATCACTAATCGTGATATTTTGGATTATAAACCACCTGATTTGCATGCGTTAAATTGAACGCACATATTTTGAAACTGTGCGTCTTTTTCGATTTTTATGCGTATTTTACGCAAAACGCACATCTAGATTAATCACTGTATTATCATGGAATATTTTCTCAAAACAAAAGCAAAATCGCTGAAAACATTAACAAATGTATAGATTGCCATCAGAATAATTTAGTAATGTACGATACGAAATGTAGTGAACATTACAATACCTATTACGAAAGGCATATCACTTATAATCTATATCTAAACAACTTCAGTAAGAAAACCTTGCTTTAGAAGAAAATTAATATTAAAGGTATTACATCTTTGTTTTTGTAGTTACTAGAATCTGATATCCAGTTACTGGATTCTAAAGCCTTAGTTATACAAAATTAAGAAAATTTGATGATAACTGTAAAAATACAAAGGATGTATAAATTTTTGCTGCATCTATGATTAAGTATAACACAAAAATGACTAGTTTAAGTCCTTGTTAATTGAAAATTAAGTATAATAAAGCCATGTTACATTTTTATTGTATTGAACATTACAGTCGCGTACATTACAGACATATGTGTATATGTCGGTAATATTAAATATTAAAAGATTTGTGGGCACAATTCTTTCAGATTTGGTTATCATATATCCCTCCAAATGTAAATCATTTATTAACAATTCCTTAATTGGGAAATAGTGCATAGAACTAATGTTTAAGTAGGGAACATTACATGCTTAGGTCATCATCTGGCAAAGGCTGTCAAAGTAATAGAATCTCGGTTATTTCTTAGAATTTATCATAAGAAAGATAAGTCTGGCTATAGAAGCATAAGTATTTGATTGTAAATAAACATATAAACGACTTAGATAACTAAGTTATTTTCAGTTATGTGCGGCACTTAATTTACAAGTCGCGTACATTACCGATGCCAGTAAATTTTGGCGACAGATCTAAAACATACTACATATGACAAAGATCACTCTTTTCAAGTGGGTCAAGCTTCGACACAAATAAGAAGACATACATACTCCTGCACAAATTAATATTTTGCCGAAATTGTATAGGTTTTTGGGGTTACACTAGCTCAAACACGGATAATCCAAAATGGCGACAGTCTCGAACATTAAAATGCATTTTAAATTCAGAAAAAAACCTTAATTTCGGTTTCTCAGCGACACGGGATACCTCTTTTCTGTGACAGGAATCTTGTCTCTCAATTTGTTTAAAGCATCGGTACCCTCGTTTGCACTCACTATGTAAAAATAAAATACTTCTTGGTAAGGAATAACCTTATCAAAAAAGACCGTCTACATGTAGAATTTTACTTGAAATACAGGTACATAGGCCTGAGTGCCAATCGTCGAGCATAAGACCAATTAAATAGTAGTGAAGTCAAGTTTTTTGCATGTGTGTTCAACTCTGTTGTTCTCATTGTTTATGCATTTCAAGCGTAAATACCAGGCTCTAATGTACATGTCATGACGATCATATCTTTTGGAGTGGTTTGGACTTAACTGTGGTAACTTGCAAAAAAAAAGACGATAATACCACCCGGTGAAAAATTGTGGCACTAAGAAATGGCATACCCATAATTTTCGTACTTGGATGTTGTATACATTGTCTGTAACAATATAACAGAAAATCTATTTTTATCCTTTTTCTACTTTTTATATATGGGTATGATAGTACATAACATTAAACAACATTAAACATATTCTAGGGCAAATCAATGCAATGTGTAACTTAAGGTGGAGGTGATGGTTGCAGTGGTGATGGGAGGTTTCACACCGGATCACGGCAGTCAGCTAAAGATAAACAAAATTATATACTCGTTGACAAATCTTAAACTAAAATGACTGTTATATTTGTTTTGGTAGTACATATATTATGTAAACATTTACCTCTATGTCGAAATTATGACGTAAAAATATAGACTTAAACATCCACCTTCGTCTTATCACATTTTATCACTATGACATATAATTTAACTGTAGGATATGTACTTTTGTATAATGGTCCATTTTCCTGAATATCAAACTGTATTAAAATCTTAGAAAAGTACAAATCACAAGCATAGTCCCAAAGAACTAATAGGTGTTCATATTGCGGCTATGTGCGACGTAAACCTGGCGTTTATTTGTTTAGATATCGCTTATCAATGATACATGTACGTTTTTATCACATACTAAATTTAGATTTAGTAACGAAACGGGGAATTTTGTAGATAAGTTATCATGAAGATATAACATTTCAAATTGTAATTTATACAGGTAAAAAAAGAGCAAACAGTATTGAAGCAGCATGCCTCTAGATCCATTATGATTTTCATGAAAATTTATAAACTTAATTTAAGTAAAAAATATTGTTAAATGAACAATGAAAGAAATTTACACATTGCAGGCGACACTTAAAATTTACAAAAAATACAAAACATAGGTCAGACTATGCAACAAAGGCCTTACGACGTTAGTCACGCAATAGAAAATAGTCAAAATAAGTCATTTTATGCATATAATATGTTCATTAATTCTTGAATCGAAAGTGAATTTACTTTTTTAAGATCTTTTTTTAAATCTTTATCAAGGTTGATTTTCATGAAATATTATGTCACATCAAGAGGCAGGCAGTTTAAATGCGAAGACGGCAGTGTAACACCGCACTTTGGGACGCCAAAGTGCGGTTAACTTCACACCACACATTTTGGTCATTTTAAATACTGATTACTGGCTTATTTTCGATCTTATTTATTATCGATTTTAAAATAATGGAACTAAGTATGGCGGCCGATACTTAGATACATCACTGTGCAACTCAATAGTCTTACTTAGTGCCATTTAAACTCTGATATAGCAGCTATAACAATGTGTTTATTGCTTATTAAATGTAAATGATATTAAATATTTTATGTAACGAATGTGTGACTCATCTAGGTCGCGTAATACGTTTTGCCAATGATAAATTGATAATGAATATTCATGATTAAAATATTTCTAATCAGTAAAACGTGGCTTTTCGCCAGGATGTTGAATTATTTTCGAATGTTGACAAAAAAGCGGCATCCGTCCACCATTTTGAATTTATCGATTATGAAGATCAGCATAAATTAAAAAAAAACATTTTAATGTCTGTACACATGTTCCGACATAAAATGTCTTACCAATGATATTATGTAACTAATGTAAGTAACAAGAAAATAACAAAATTATGTATGTGTATCCACAAAGAAAACTTTATTCAATTAATTATCTTATATATCATCGATTTTATTTCCATGTATATTTTTTAACTTAGTGACATGTATTCAAATATTTTTATATATTAAATGGATCACCTTTTCGACCAGTTTGGCCATACCACGTGACCAGTGGCATCAGAAATGATAAGGAGTTGAATGGCGTCACAAACGAACAAAGCAATACGAATTTATATTTCCAAGCTAGTTCCTTTAATTCTTTTTCACAATCAATTAAAAACTAATGATACAGTTAAAAGCGAAAATTTGTTTCATTTGTGGTTTCAATTTCATAAACACGTTTTTTGTTCCAACATGCGAACCGCAGTTTTGAAGACATACAGGAGTTATATTGCAAATGGTGATTATGATGTAAAATAATTATGATTTATGCCATTTTATCTCTTAAATCGACCCCTTTAGACATGTTCGTAACATTCGAAGGTGAAGATAAACTTATAAAAGAGTGATCCTTCGGAAGTATAAATCACAATAAATTAAATGAAAATTACAGATTCTGTTTCTGTACAAGACTTGTAACGATTAGAACTGAAATTACGCTCACAAGTCTCTGTTCGGAACAAAATGGTTTTCTATTTGGAGAAAAGCTCGAAATGTTCTGATTTGGTGTGAAGCAGTTTGAAGTATTATATTAACGGGTCCTTGTTTGAAAAAATGCTACATTTAACAATTTCATAAATCCTAATGTATATTCCTTACCATGCATTATAAAATCATTCTTAACGAGGTGAACAAAATAGACAAATGTGTGTGTGTGTGTATTTGCGTTATTTTTATACTCGCCACCGGTTGCCCATATGGGCGAGTCCTCCAGAAGAGTATTAGTCATTTTAGATTTCTGGAGGATAGTGCAATTACAGATACAGAAAAATGCCCCAATTCCAGAAGCTTCTCCTGGTTCTTTAGCGTGCCAAGTGTTTAAGCACCCATACACGGGACCTCAATTTAAAGTCTCATCCGAAAGACTGATTAGTAATTTTAGTTGGCCAGCCCGGGAATCGAACCCACAATGTCGAGATTACAAGTCTCGCGCTCTAACCGATTGAGCTATGCGGGCTGGCAAATAGACAAAGCCCGCCATAGGTTTGCTTTATAAAACAATTATAGCATTTAATATATGGCAATGTTAGTGGGATCTATTTTATCATATGACTTAACGCATCATACTAGATTTTAAATAAACCAACAATTCTTAACCTTTTTTAACTATTAAATTAGTTTTCTGAATAAATACATTATACATTTTAATAAAAAAAGTTTTATTTTTGCACAAAAAAATGCAATAAAGGGAAGCAATTCCTAATGTTTTCAATGTGTGCTGTGCTTTTGTATAATCACTTGTGTGTGTTATCTCCCTTTACAACTCTAGGTGCCGGAGCAAACGTGGGTGGTCACAGTTCAGGGGGTAAGTTGTGACCTTCCCGTAGGTTGACTATGTTATAAACATTATTTCTTATTATTTGTTTAAATTTTTATTAATTATTTTTTTTAGATAATTTTCATAGAAAAGAAAAAGAAGTTCCATGAATATGACCAAAAAAATAAATTAGTTTCTAGAATTTCTTGTGATAAAAAATTGTAGAATGAAGCTTGCTTGTTTGAACAAATTATTAATACCTTTTTCAAATCTTTAACTGAATTGCTCTAATGTTACTTTGGCACATTTTTGCTTCAGCTTTTAAAGCAAGACATTTCCGACAATAAATGATCATTCTAGAATATGAAACTTCTTTGTAATGTTTGAATAGGCATGTTCTAGTTCAACATACAGTTTTTTTTGTTTTTACTTTTTTCTCCCTAGAACAAATATCCAACTTTTTTTATTTGATTATTTTCATGAATTATATTAAGCACACATTTTGTATGTTAGAGATTTTTGTCACAAAGTAGATAGTAAATAACACTTCTATGTTTGACATACTTAGATAATTATATTCCATTTCTTGAGAGTGTGAAATAGAAATTTTCATTTTTTTCTTTAAGATTTCAAATCGCCCTCGTAAAGTGCAAGAAATAATGTAAAGAAGGCCATGAGATTTTCTTTAATCAAACATTTTGTTTTTATCTGGAAAGTAGTCATTTAACCTTTAAGTCTTACAACACAAGAAACGAAGAAAAAATTATAAATTGTAGGTCATTTTATGTACATGAAGTTGAGAATGTGCACTACTAGGGCTGTCAGTGGTAATAATATAGTCCCTGTATATGTTACCAGTGAAGCATAACAAGCCGGTCTGCTCATCTGTGTAGTCTTGGATCATTTTTGTATTCTGTTGACTGTTTTTTTAACATTTGGATATCAAAATCACTGTCTAACATCAAAAATTTATATTCAATATGGCACAACATGTTAATGAACAAATTAAATTAAAAAAATAACAAAAAAACTTGTTTACTCTGTCTGCTGCGATAAATGTCTAAATGAGAGTGCAGCATCATAAAAGGGCTAAAATATGATTTATTATCTGATTTTAGAAAAAAATGTAACAAATATAAAAACAAAAACAAAAAATCAAAGTGCACTGAATGCGACGGACATGCAACCGGAGAGACATTAAGGCTTCTTTTAGAAAAAAAAAACAAAACAAAAACAAAACACAAAATATATAACAGAGAAAATTTGTTCCATACAAGTTCGAGATTTGTAGAGCAATATATTTTGTGTCCCAAATTGATATAATTCAGATTTTTTACTTTCAAGCACTTAAATACAGAACGAAATTTATGCCTAAAAACTCTGGTCAAACTTGTAAATCAGTGTCCTTATCGATATATTCTAAGAAATGATATGTAAATAGAAAAAAAAACTATCAACGAAATATTTCTAGAATAAATCCAGGCAAATAAACTTCAAACATAATACATTATACATTTGAGAATGCTATTTAGAATTGCTTCGTGTTATATCATAGTGGGCATACAGACAATAAAATATAAGTCATTTGTATTTTTATTTCTCTTGGATATGTCTCATTAAAAAAAAATGGTTAAAATCATCAGCAATTAATAGTGTATTTAGTATTAGATTTTTTTTATTTACAAGGTAAAGATGTAGAGGCCAGAGCACATCGTTTTTATTTTAATTTAAATGTCACTTAAGCACTACAGTGTTTAGTTGTCCTTTTCAACTTCACACTAAATTCCATTTTCAACTTGTTTGCTTCTTACAATTGTATAGCATTTCTAAAAGTATTGCATTACAATCCGCTGGTTTATTTATTACATGTTTAATGTGTACTTCCTAATCGCCTGTCCAAAAATCAGAACAGGTGAAGCAGAATCTATTTTTAGAATAGCGAAGGTTAACTCATATCATGACCTAGTAAAATATGTAAACAAACCACAAGAATCGGAAGTAGAACTGATATTATAACTTCCTTACCATGAAAGACTACATGGCGGTAAAGTGTCTTACATGCATTTTCAAAAATAGATATTTATACTAGCCATTGTACTGTATCTAATATATTAATAACTGCTGAATATTCAGCTAAACCCGCGGTATGAGTCACGAAAATAGTTTTTCTTTTATTAATGCGCGAGTTATCCTAGAATCACGAAAAACTTTTGATTTGTTAATAATAATGTTTTGTATAATGTAGAAATATTTATTTCCTACTAATAATGTCTTGGAACTCAGAGGTTATACCTTTATTGTAGTATAATTTGCTGTCCTACTTTTTCGACAGCGGTAAATCGTTTCAGCAGTAATTTGCATATTGCGCAATAATACTACGGGACTACAACGTTTTTATCAATAATATACGTTCATATTTTAACTTGGATAACTTAATTTGAAATTGAAAAGGCTAAATATGGAAGACATTAAGATATCCAGACAAAGTATGGGAGTTTTGAAGGATCAAATTCATGTACTATTTCTTGGGCTGTTAATTGGTTTAGGACACATTGCGCGATTGTAGCCAACGAAATCCCATGTGTAGATGACTTAGCTCTGAACGCGCCTGAGGGCGCGTCCGTCGCAAAAACCTTAGCACTCTATAGTATGACTTACTTGCTTTTTGATAAGAATATTTTTATTATTGCTCTTGAATGATAGATTTTCACACTTATCAGCATATACAAGTGCACAATTTGCTTATCTTATATATCAAAAATTATATTATCCCAGACTTTCTTTACTTTTTTTTGCTTTTGAGACCTTTATACTCAAAGAAAGGGGATCATTTTATTATGATAATAATATATACCAGTCATGGGTAATTTCTAACAGTCAAAAGTATTATATTGCTATTTTGCCAAGCTTTTGAACATAATAAATTATATTATATTTAGAATTTAGAAATTTGAATGAGAACTTAAGATTGTCTTGTAAGGTTACAAATGTTTTTTTGAAAAAGGTTATTCATCCAACCAATCAGTCAATTCATTTTAATAATTTTTAACAATTTTCAATTAAAAACTGAGGTGCAGTAGTATTTTTCCTTTAAAAAAATTTCTAGCCATCTGATAAGAGGGTGGCAAAAAGTGTTTTTTTAGTCGAAATAAGGACCCCGTCTTATAAGTGATCCATCTTATAGGCGATTTCATTCGGTATGTTCTAGGAAATCGAAGACAATTATAGCGAGCTCGACGAGCTGGCCCAAAAGGCCTGCTCGCAAAGCGAGCTTTACGGTAACGCGAGTACCGTACCTGCTAAGTGATGGTTTTGAAAACTTTCGTCCGAAATACCTAATTGGACACATCGCAACTTTTCAAATTACAAGATAACGATAAAAGCCGATGTACTCTGATTGAAAACTGAAGCATAGACTGGTGTACTGCGCACTTATATTAGAAACCATAATAGAAAGGAGGAACCAGAATAAACGGAAGCAGTGTATAAAATACCTAATGACAATTTTAAAACGGAAAATGTAAAATAAAATTGAACGATTATTTTAAACTATCTTACGGTAAAAGAAAATCGAGCTCGCTTTGAGGCTTTGTCTTTTTCATATTATAATGCATGTCTGATCCTTAATTATGTATTAAAAACTCAGTTCAAAACTCAGTTCATCAATTAATGATAGTTCTTAAATTGTTAAAATTATAAATATTAATTTTGAGTGTATTATGTTGTATGATGTTGCAGTCTGTTAAGAGTTTAATGATATAATCAAATACCGGTAGGCCTGATTAATTTTAAAACATCTAAATGAAAAACTGTGCAAATGAAACTTTCATCCCCTCGCTTTTCATGTTCAAGGGTCCAAGGTTATAAAGAAATTTTCTCAGCTCAATCTCCATATATCAGGTATAGATAAGTATCCTGATAGTTCCTGATTTTTACAATATTTACCTCCCTTGACAAGTGAAAAGCATCTGATCTGATTGGTCAGAATCAAGCATAGAATGCGCACTGATCAATGAAAATCTTGAGGTCGGAGACACCTCGCAGACAAAGTTTTATAACCTTGAGGCCTTACAATGTTGTCATACAAAGAAGCATGGTTGTGTTCCTTTGTAGGTTACAGACACCATTGACCAACAGGCCATCTGCATTAACCTATTAGCATTCACTGAAGAGCCTTATTTATAATGTTTAATAGGAAAATAAAAAAAGGTTATCCTTTGTTAAAAATAGCCATTAAAATTTGATTAAAATTCAAGATGACTGTTTATTTAAAATGTATAATTATAACATCAATGTTTTATTATGTACATATATATATTTGTACCCATCAAGCAGATATGCAAAATGGCAGTTCTAGTAGAAGGGGTATGACAGATAATTATACTATACAAACATTTTATTATCCCTATCTCTCTACTATATTACCTTCTTCAAACCTCAACAAATGAACATTCAAAGAAAATGACAAATTTCTCGTCTTAATTTACATATTTTCTTATTGTTTTCGATTGTTTCTTCTGAATTTTCTTTTCAACTGGTGTTTTTTTTTCTATTTACAATTATTATTGTTACATTTCTTTTTATTCTATAACTTTTTTTGTTCAATTAGGTCAAGAATTTTAGAAAAAAAGTTTTATTATGTTATTTTTTTAAGAAGGGCAGTTAGAAAAGTTTCAATCTACTTTCAGACTATTATGAAAAAATCCAACCTATTATAAATAATTGTAGAAAACCAAAATCAAAATACACGGTACAAATAAATAAGATATTATATTTATTTTAAAGACATTTGTAGTAAATAAATTTTGAAACTAGATTTCCCTGAGGAACACATATTTGTCACTTTCTGTAAAGCTGCTTATACCTGCATTTTCATACCGCTTTCAAACCCCTGCAAACTTTGCTTGAAATTGTTATCGATATTTTCTCCATTTCCTGTAAGTAACTGCTGTTTTAACTTATTAAGACCCTTTAAGTGTCTATTCATTGCCTTATGAATTTTGCCATTTCCGATAAAATTTGTATTATTTTTGTTAAACCTGTGTTGTACATTTGTGTTACATTTCTGTGTTAACCTATTTATTTGTTGCTGAAGGGTTAAATTATATAATTATCTTGAGTAGCCAATTTGTAGGGGTATATATTATTTAGATGTTTGGTGTATTTTCTCTGTATTTTACTAAGCAGATTTCTATTCTCTATTCTCAATAAAATACTTATGCGTACAAAAAACACTATTTTTTCTTGCATAATGCACTGTTGCTGGCTATTAAAATTTGATAAATAAAATTTACCATTTGGACGGTAAAGCATCACACTATACCTAACATATTAGAGACTGCCTTAAGCTAGCTAATACACAATGTTGGTGTTTCTACCTTGCTTATGCCTGTTATTATTAATAATATCTGACATATGTTTGCGGTTCGGACCGGAATATCCGTCACCGAGGGACGGATATTCCGATTCGAACCGCAAACATATGTCAGATGTTTTTTCTTGCATATTCTACAATATTCCATTATATTTTAAATTCTATATCTTTATTTTCAACGGAAATTTATATCATTACAGCCGTAACTATTTTCTTACAACAGCGTATGAAACAGCACGCGACTCATCTGGCACCCCCATGCCAGATGAAATTTCCGGCATAGGTTAAACACACGGAAACGCCAGTCTGCTATGCAAGAAATACTAAGTACACAAAAGGGGCAGCCTGAGATTTTTCTTGACCACTTAAGCCACTGTGACATTTATAATGTCAGTATGGCTTTTAACTGGGAGAGAAAAAAAATGACTGTATAATTAAGGCTTGTGATATCTGGCCTGAGCATCAACTTAAGTCATCCACGGTAACCCAGGCTGTATATTGTATACCATAGTTAAATGTAGTATATATGGAATGTGTACTGTTGGTTCTGATGATGGACTTTAGAATTTTTATACTAGACTCTCCTTAAGTATCATAGACTCCTCTTAAGTATCATAATGGACAGTTCAAAATACAAAGCAGGATGTGTTCATTACAGAAATGAAGGGAGAGAAGGGTTAAAATTATTCAAATTTGAATTTATAACCTATCACTGTTTATCATTGACAGTTTAAATTGAATATAATGTTAATGAATTTTTAGTCAAATTTAAAAGTCAGCAATGGTTCATAAAATATTTTGGTTTCTAATTAATTAACTTAATATTGTGCATCTTTTTGCAGTTATTCGTTTTAAATCAAAAGGTGACTGAAAGTAAAAAATATAAAGTGTATTTACATATTATTTATTTGTAAAATTAAGATATTCAATATAAGAACTTTATAATATGTTTAATAGTATGTAAAATGTAGAATAAATATTTATTGTATTAAAATATTTTTCAAATAAAAAACATGATTTTACAACTTTTACAATTTATATACAAACTGGTCTTTATACAAAATTTATCTTTTATTATCTAATTATTCCTGGATATATGTGTTTTTCATCAATGCCATAAACAAACTTTGATTATTTCTTGTTTATCAGCAATTATAATTTTTCTATTAGTATGCGATATAACCACATCTACCAAAGAGAGGCCTTAATTATGAATATACATGTATAGTATCTATATGAATGATAAAAAGACATGTAGCCTGTTTTCCTGTCAATTACCAATAGCTCTTTCAATCAGTAAAAGATATTTCTTAATAATTACAATTTAACATTATTTATCTACATTAATTTAACAATAAATTTCTTGTTGATGTAAATAAAAGACTATTCTTTCATAAGCATTTATTTTAAATAAATATTTTAAATATTATCATAATTATTTTCATATTTTTAATTGGGAATATTCAGTCAGTAATTAATATAGGATTTAAATATTAAGACTATTATTGTAGTTGGAATATTAAAGTTAAAATGTAAAGAAAATCAGAGAAGAAAAAAAAACTTTTATTAAAATTATGTACAGTATTTATATAATACACAGGTTAAGTTGGTGCTATGGAAACATATTTTAACATCTCATTATTTTCTTATTTTCTAGCTTCCCTGGCTGCAGACGCTAAAGGTAAAGGTAATAAGGCAAAAGGTAAAGAAAAAGGTGGTAAACCTACTCAAGAAACAGAGGTGAGTTGATGTCAATTAAAGTGACTATTTCGTCACCTTAGTGCAATAACTGGTTAACTTCTTTTCAATTCAGAAGGACTTAACCTGTAACTGAGGTGAAGATGTTATGTTTTCAAAGCAGATTTATCGTCACAATACAGCACACACACAAAAGGTGTTGTGCATCCACTTTTAGCTCGACTATTTGAAGAATAGGGAGAGCTGTTTTACACGCCATGTTGTAAGGATCTGTGGAGGCTTTGTCGTCACTCTTTGGTCAAGTTTTTGCGTGCAAATTGATATCTCCAAAACTACTGAAGGGAATGGGTTAAAACTTCGCCTACTTGTTTACTTCGTTCATCTTACATGATGATTATCTAACATGATGAGCACAGGTCACACAACTCTGAGTCACCTTTTTACAGAGTTATGCCCCTTTACTTACTGTCAAGCACTGAGAATAGTCTAGCCCACTGTCTTACAGACACCTATTGTTATTACATACATGTAATTAGGTACCTATTATGCCTTGGTTGGGAATACAATAAACAACAAGTAGTAGATATTTGTATACTTGTATTAAACATTGTTTATGAACATCTTTTTTAAATTTTCATACAAATTTTGGCAAACATTGAGTTGTGCAATGAAAGTTGAACATAATTTGTATTATAACAGAACAGTCTTATTATTATAACTGTTTATATTTCAGCCAGCTGACAGTCCTGACTTTATAAACCCACTGTTATGTCTCAACCCGGTACGGAATTAGACCCAACCCGTTGTAGTCTAGAAAGTAGTTCTTTAAAATTTTGAAATGGCCCAGTTTAAGTCATCTCTAGTTAAATTGGTCATAATTAAAGTGTATTTATTGCATGTGTGTAGTTTTTGTGTGTTATATGATGACTTTAAAAGTTATTTTTTGTGTATTCTCCAGGAACTCATTTGTTGGTGGAAGGATTAAAGATGTACTACCCACCAGCTGTCAGGAGTTTTTAAAGAGGTGAATTTAAACAGTGTTACAACAGAATGAAGATTTCTGAAAAAAGTAGATGGCTAACCTATTATATTTTGGGCCTCATTGGACTTAGATAGTGTTAATGTTTAAAGTTGAAGACAGTATATAATTCATCAAGAACAGTGGAATCCAGAATTAAGCCTCAAATTTGACTGATTTACTATAGAACAAATAGTACGAAAATTCACCGGTCCGTGTCCTAGATAAGAAATAAGAAAAATTGGAACTGGTTGATGGATATGGATGAAACTTTGCATCAGTGATGTGTTTATGAAAAGAAGTCAGGAAAATAAAGGATAACTGACAGGTTTGAAAATTCTAAATTTTATTTCAATTTTTAAATTTTGACATTTTAAATTGGGACATATGTTGTTATTGTTATCTCCCCTTCAAATGTAGATGTCTGCTACTGAGTCAGTAAGCAGGGACAAGGGTACAGAGCTTTTGCATGAAAGATTCACCACATTTTATTGAATTAAAACTGTAAAGATAAATTTAGAATTAAAAAATGAAATTTAAATTTTGTAAAAAGCAGTTTATAAATTGATAAATTTTACCTTTGCAGCCTGTGTTTAGCAATATATTATAAATCTTGCTTATTTTTTATAAGATTTATATAGAAAATGATATTTTTTAGAGAAATGCATCTTAAATTATGGATAAATTATGCATTGCAAGGAAATGGGGAGTGTGTGGTTTCAGATTGGTTACATTGGTAAAAAAAGTGATTGGCAAGCTCATTCCAGAGATCTCTAAGGGGCCCAAGAAGCCACGGCCATGGGATTCGAACAAGCACCATAGTAGCCTATTTCTCATATGGACAACACATTTTATGTTTTGATGTTTCAGCAAAGGATTGATGCTGTAGTAATCAGTATGCAAATATTCACAATTTTCTTGTATTTCAATGAAGCAGAACTGACATTTTATTGAACAGGACAAATGTGTTTTATAAATTTGGAAATACAGGCATTTTCAGTGTAGTGAAACTTGATGTTTTGCTGTGTTGCAGAATGTATTTGCTATTAATATATACACATAAAATATTTTCTAGTCATTAAACAGTGTACTTTATGGATAATTGGCTCATTTAGAATAACACAGTTGATATGATTGTTGTTGTTGTTGTTGTTGTAGCTGCTACATCAGTTAATTTAGGTTAGATTTATAATGTCTAAACTGCTATTTTCATACAGGCATGCGTTTTTCAGCAAACAATATTTATACAAGCTCTCCTTTGTGAATTAGCAAATCTAGCCATTGATTAATTAAGACATTATTTTCTTTCTTTTTCAGATATCAGAATTACAGCATAAATGCCTCTTATAATTTTCTTAGGCATGTACTAGTGTTGCATATTTTTTCAGACCGTGCAGTTACCAAAGCCTGGGTTTGAGTACAGGGCCTTACCTTACCCTGGTAAAGATCTATGGACGGACTCCTTCAGCTCAGTTTGGCAGCAGCTTTGTCAGGACATATTAAGAAGGTAATAACTTATGTCTAGTTTGAAACTTCAGCTATTGACGGTTAAGCGACTCCCAATGCTCGGGCAATATTTGGTAGTTATTTTGATGTATATCAGGAGAAAATTTCTCTAATTCTGACTATATTAAGACTTCTCAATGATTTAAAGTGGGAGACGGTATTTGTCATCTTTTTTAAGCCTTATTTGTGTGAGAGTTGGCTAATCTTACTTTGTCAGAAGACATAGCCCATGGTGATATGGTAACCTCTTTGCTAACCTTAAGATTACCTCTGTTTGTCTTTATTGATATCTTAAGCAAACAATGTAGGGTGTGTATGTTGGTTCTTTACTTTATTTACCATGGTATATAGTTAAAAATCAAAATCAGTAAGATTTATTACAATATTGAAGGAAAAATTATGAAAAAAGCACATTTAATTGTGATTACTTGTATTTTAACCCAAAATTTCATGCTCCCATTTAAAGAAATGGAGTTTTTATTACAATTTTTAAGCAATAAGGTCTTATTCTTTCATAAAAATAACTGTATGACATTAGCCGGTAACAGTAAACTTTATTCGAAGAAAATCCATTGACAGAATCAAAAGATATGACAGAATTTGTAATATAAATTTTTGCGTAAAATTCTATTGGCCGAGCCTGACTTTTCGCATGAAGGTTCATATTTAAGAAATTGTACTGCATTAATGTAATTTGTTAGAGACATGTCAAACCTATATGATTGTACTTGTATAACACTAAATTACTAGGAAATGAGTATAAATTTTGGATTAAGTTAAAATTTGGATTCATTTAGGTCTCAACCCGGTACGGAATTAGACCCAACCCGTTGTAGTCTAGAAAGTAGTTCTTTAAAATTTTGAAATGGCCCAGTTTAAGTCATCTCTAGTTAGATTGGTCATAATTAAAGTGTATTTATTGCATGTGTGTAGTTTTTGTGTGTTATATGATGACTTTAAAAGTTATTTTTTGTGTATTCTCCAGGAACTCATTTGTTGGTGGAAGGATTAAAGATGTACTACCCACCAGCTGTCAGGAGTTTTTAAAGAGGTGAATTTAAACTGTGTTACAACAGAATGAAGATTTCTGAAAAAAGTAGATGGCTAACCTATTATATTTTGGGCCTCATTGGACTTAGATAGTGTTAATGTTTAAAGTTGAAGACAGTATATAATTCATCAAGAACAGTGGAATCCAGAATTAAGCCTCAAATTTGACTGATTTACTATAGAACAAATAGTACGAAAATTCACCGGGCCGAGTCCGTTAGAAGGTGCTGATGATATAGATGGTCAACTGTTGGTAGCCGGTAACAGGGTTCTCATTAACCTCAATCTGTCACGTATGTATTCAACTTTAATGTTAATTTCAGTCATATAAATGCATAGTAACTTCACATTTATAGGTCTGAGTTGAATTACTGATTATGAATATCTTGGGTTTTAATAAACATCGTGGTTGACTCAAGAAAATTTCTTACATCAAATCACTTAATTCTTGTTTTCTGATTCCACAAATGTGCCTTTCTCTGCCATTAATGCTAAAAATTTGCTTTTTGACAAGACGAGGATTTTTATGTCATTAAACACAACACATCAATAATTGATTGATTGATTGATTGATATGCAATGAGTCAGCATGGCAACATCATAAAATAAATACATAAAATTTAAAACAAAGTGTATGAATTAGTAATTCATAGCCATATTGAAAGAAACATTATACATGTTTATTTCAAGAATTACACACACAAAATAGAAGAGATATCTCCATTGTGGTCTTAAATGAGCTATGTTATTTTGTGATTTAGAAAAACATGGAATACCTTTAATCAAACAATGAAAAAAAAATCATTTTTACTGTAAACTTTTCTACTTTTGACATGTTATAAATAGAATATTATATATTCGTGTATAACTTCATTACTAAATTTATTAAACCCGTTGAATGAAATATTATGCTCGCTTAGAGGCTGGCATTATATAATTTTATTCAACTTGTTCAATAAATTAAGTATTAAACCTACACTCGATATATTCGTGTAGCTTCATTACTAAATTTTTGAACTTGTTGAATATTCTATATATAAAATTGAAGGTTTAAAATATTACAGGGAATGAGATAGGTGAGACAGGCCTTGAGGCCCTACTGAAGGCCATGCAGTATCAGACAACATTGTGTATGGAAAACAAAAGTAGCGGAACTGGGCTTATGAGATTATTAGTCGGGGTAAGTTAACATTGGCTTGCATTGTTATTGATTCATTTTAATTTCTGGGGCGTCCGTGGCCAAGTGGTTAAGGTCGTTGACTTCAAATCTCTTGCCCCTAGGGCTGTGGGTTCGAATCCCGACAGGGACTTTGGATCTTTCATGTGAGGAAGCTATCCAGCTAGTTTACGAAACGTCAGTGGTTCTACTCAGGTGCCCGTTTGTGCCTGAAATATTTCACGGAAGGGCACCAGAGGTCTTCCTCCACCAGTAAAGCTGGAATATCACCAAATGACCTATATTGTGTTGGTTAGACTTGAAACCCAATCTAACAAACAAACAAATTTTATTTGATTGCGGATTACAGTTTTAAGTTTTAGTAAACTAATTGTTGAATTAATTTATTTTCTTTTTTGTAGAAGAACAAGGTACGATCCAGCCATGAGTTACTACAGAAGATAACAGATATCATGTTACCTAAAGATCCTTTCTATAAACCTCCACCACAGACCCCGGATGTTACTGAGGCTTAAACACAAATACAGATTTACATAATGTCACTTTTAACTTTAATATAGTTACAGCTCTTTAATTGATTTATTTGAAAAATATCCTTTGACTGGATTTCTAGGAAAAAGTCTTTAATTGGATTCCTTGGAAAAATTGTTCAATTGGAATCCTTGGAAAAATTATTTTATTGGATTCCTTGAAAAAATTCTTTTAGTGGATTGGAAAAATTATTTTATTGGATTCCCTGGAAAAAATTGTTTAATTAGATTCCATGGGAAAAATCTTTAATTGCATTCCTTGGAAAAATTCTTTTATTGGATTCCTTGAAAAAATTCTTTTACTGGATTCCTTGGGAAAATTATTTTATTGGATTCCATGGAAAAATTCTTTCATTGGATTCCTTAAAATATTTTGACTGGATTCTGTAGAAAAATTCTTTGAAGTCATAATTCTTTGAAAATTTTAAAAGCTTTATATAATGATGATTTTGAAAAATAAAGATAGTGTATGAACTGGAAAATGAAACAGCTATCTTCTGATGTCGTTAAACGTGTTTATGAATGTGATAACAAAAACTGTGATGTTTAGATATAATAAATCAGTGCAGAATTTTGTCATAATTTGTTCTATGCTGAATTTAAGGTCAACATTAAAACATGATATATTAGTATTACTTATATCAAATATATATGTGTTAAACAAAGTTATTATAAAATGTGCTAAAATGTTAAATGTAAAAGCCTATAGCTATAACTTGGCTTTTAAATTATTCTAGAAGTTTAGTCAACATTAACACATATAATATAAAGCCTAACATTGTTGAAATGTGTGAAATTTGAACGGAAAAGCGTATATCTTATAAAGGTTACTTTCTGTTAAATGTTAGATAATAATTCTAGGATAATGAATATGCAACTTATTGAAATAATGTTGTCTTTTATGTAATAAACTTTAAAACACTCGCATTAACATTTAGATAAAAGTTGTTTGTATTTTTTTTAAAACGTCCATATTTTCTGTGATAATGATTGTTTTTATGTTCAGAGTTATTTATATATGTACATGTTTGGTTATTTTATTTAATAAATGTTATTGAATGTATTTTTTATTTCAATAACATATATATTACTTAACAGTTTGAAAGTTTAGAATCATAAATGCATATATATGTGTTACATATTATGTTATGACACATAATGTTATGTATGTTAATATGCAAATAACATTTGTGATGAATAAAGAAATCTCCTCTAAAACATCTTGTTGTAACTGCTCTGAAACCCACCACTGTTTCATGACTGACTGGATTCCTTAAAATAGTTCTTTGATTTCAAATCCCATAAAAATTCTTTGAATTCCATGGAATAATTCTTCGATTGAATCACATAGAAAAATTCTTTGATTGAATTTCATGGAAAAATCGTCTGTTGTGAGATTGCTATTATCTTGTTCAAGTGAGCTTTTAATTTCTATTACAATCTGGTCATAACTGATGTTTAAACTTATCTATAGTGCATATAGAAATGAAATTGACAGTGTTTATATTAACCTCACGTTTACGAACGACTATTTGCCATCATGTAATGATGAATTTGTAAGTTTTACGGAATCTAGGATGATGGCAATATTCTTTTATTCATTAAGAACAAATTTGGTTCAGGACTTTCTGAACTTAAAAAATTCTACATTATCTAGGCTCTTGCTTTACTATCAAGCTATTGGAATAGTTGAGCACGCTGTCGCTCCAACACTTGCTGTAAATTTTGTTCCTTTGCTTTTCAAATTTTGGGCGAGGTAATGCACTGAAAACGTTTGTCTTGATATATGAATCAACAGCTGGGTCAGAGAAGTGAAGTCCTTTCTTAAAATTCATTTTTTTTAATGCTACATTTTCATTTTACATGATTTTACATTCTAAATTGGGGTATAAATTCATGCATGATTTTAAAAAGAATATAACAAGAAAAACATCAATCGAAATTATCGAGCTTATCTTTAATATAACTACATATATGTGTACATTTGATATGTATGTAAAAAATAACTTTCCCCTGAAGCAACATGACCTGAGAGGTTAATAATATGAAAGCTAATGATACAGCCCGCCTCTGCAATATCTAGTGTTGAAAATTAGTTCTGTCAAACGTTAGGAATTGACGGAATTTGTCTTTTGATTTATCATACATTTTTTTTAATTGGCTTTGTAGTTCGAGTTTAGTCAACATTAACACATATAATATAAAGCCTAACATTGTTGAAATGTGTGAAATTTTAATAGAAAAGCGTACATCTTATAAAGGTTACTTTCTGTTAAATGTTAGATAATAATTCTAGGATAATAAATATGCAACTTATTGAAATAATGTTGTCTGTTATGTAATAAACTTTTAAACACTCACATTAACATTAAGATAAAAGTTTTTTTGTTGTTTTTTTAAAATGTCCATATTTTCTGTGATAATGATTGTTTCTTATGTTCAGGGTTATTTATATATGTACATGTTTGGTTATTTTATTTAATAAATGTTATTGAATGTACTTTTTATTTCAATAACATATTTATTACTTAACAGTTTGAAAGTTTAGAGTCATAAATGCATATATATGTGTTACATAATTATTATGTTATGTATGTAAAATATGCAACTTGCATTTGTGATGAATAAAGAAATCTCCTCTAAAACTTATTGTTGTAACTGTTCTGTTACTTCTAAACACGCCACTGTTTCATGACTGTTTGATTGGATTCTTTAAATTAATTATTTGACTGAATTCCTTTAATAAAAATGGATTGAATTCCATAGAAAAATTCTTTGATTGAATTTCCTGGAAAAAATATGTCTCTGTTGTAAGGTTGCTATGGTGCTATTATGTTGTTCAAGTAAGCTTTTAATTTCTATTACAATCTGGTCATAACTGATGTTTAAACTTATCTATAGTGCATATAGAAATGAAATTGACAGTGTTCCTATTAACCTCACGTTTACGAACGACTATTTGCCAACATGTAATGATGAATTTGTAAGTTTTACAGAATCTAGGATGATGGCAATATTCTTTTATTCATTAAGAACAAATCTGGTTCAGGACTTTCTGAACTTAGAAAATTCTACATTATGTGCGCTCTTGTTTTACTATCAAGCTATTGGAATAGTTGAGCACGCTGTGGCACCAACACTTGTTGTTAATTTTGATCCTGATCTTCAAATCTTGGGCCAGGTAATGCACTGAAAACGTTTGTCTTGATATATGAATCAACAGCGAAGTCTTGTCTTAAAATCTAATTGTTTTTATTACTACATTTTCATTTTACTTGAACTTAATTGTGGTACAAATTCATGCATGATTTTGGAAAGAATATAACAAGAAAAACATCAATCGAAATTATCGAGCTTATCTTTAATAGAACTACATAATATATGTACATTTGATATGTATGTAAAAAATAACATTCCCATGAAATAACATGACCTGAGAGGTTAATAACATGAAAGCTAATGATGCAGCCAGCCTCTGCAATATCTGGTCTTGAAAATTAGTTCTGTCAAACGTTAGGAAATAACTGAATTCGTCTTTTGATTTATCTTATTAAGATTGACTCTGTAGTTCGAATTTTGTAACTTTCCACCAATGGATGAAGACCATAACCACTTTACGTGAGCGACACAAAATTTGATTTTTGAGAAAAAAAACAACAACAAAAAAAACCAATCATTTATATATGTGGACTCCAAAAATGTCAAAAAACTGATATTGCAGTTTTAGTTAGGTCTTATTGTCACACTTGTATTTTGCGATAATTTTATATCAATCATCTACTATCAATATTTATTTAATACATATTTAAACATATTGTGCTAGTTAATCGTGATTTTTGTTGCGAGTTTTTTTAAAGAGATAAATAACAATTCTAAAATGTTACATATTTTCAAATATAGAATATAAATAGTTCTCTATAACTCCACTAAGCTAGTTCTAATTAAACGAGTTTTTATATTTTTGTCAAATACACTAACACACTGATGATAATTTGTGTCAAATACAACTTTAACACACCACCGAGCTCAGGGTTCATATTTCCAAAAGGACCAAAATATATACAAGAAAACACCGAGGGATAATATTATCACTAAACCAATATTTAGGCCTATTTTGGCGTATTTGTTTTGTTCAAGGCACGCAACTTTCTCCATGTGTAACCGCAGTTGTCGTTCCTTTTCTTCGTCGACCTCGTTTGTGATTCCACACACATAATTCAGCGCCTTTCCCGCGCAATGCATCTCTGCAAAGCAAGAATTAAAATATTAATAATGCTATTAAAAGGATAAGAAATCCCATAGTAAATCGTTATATACATTGAAAGACTGACTGTTTCTGTTTAATAAAAAGCTTGCTCCTCAAATAAAATAAAAGAGAGATTTTCAGAAGTAAGAAACTCGAAAAGTGCTAGTTAATGATTGATACCGGCAGGATTTAAACTGAAATTCAAGTTCTAATTTTAATTTTTCTGCCTCTAGAAATTTAGATATAATATAGGTGTCAAACCTTTATCTTCTTCTGGTTCATCAAGTTTCGGGTCCCTGTAGTGATGTTTTTCCTCCACGGAGAACACGTGCATGTTATTATCACCTGTTGCTGCAAGATTTGTGAAACCATTCTCCTTATCTTTACCTAGTTTGTCAGGTTCTGTCTCTTCTATATACGGAGCCGATTTCCTCGTCCAAAATGTCGTACGTGTCAACTTAACAAGAAAAAAATGTTTGTTTTATAAAAGTTGTGTATCTTTTTAAGTTTGTGATAAAACATTTATACATACTTTACGTTAATGGCCAAAGACATTTTACATGTCGATAGCCAATAAATTTGGAAACTTTTTTATTTGGTAATTTTTAACAAACGAAAATGAGTTGGCACGATTTTTTTTATCAAATTAATGCGTATTTATAATACTTGATTGAATCAAAACGTAAATATAGAAAAAATAAATAAAAGCGTTGAATAATAACTTTTGAATCGTTTTAACCTGCCATATAAAATCATGTACTTAGGTGAAAACAAGAACATGTGTTTTCTGTGTACTTTCTCTATATTACGGACACATTAACCGTGACATAAAACTGTAATGCTATTTAAATGGATGGAGTCTCTAGGACGACTTTAAATTTAGCAAACAAATTCATTTGTATTTTTTAGACACAAAACTGTTCATAATTTTTACATAAACTTATTTACATATATAAAGATGAAAATGAACTAAAACATAACGTTTTAATCAAGATATATAAAACAGGTAAATTGTAATTAATATTAGTAAGAAATTAGTCTCAGCTAGGTTTAAAAAGATACTGATCTATATTGATGTTATGACAAAGCAATAAGATTGACAATTCGAGCAAAACAACAGACATTACAAAGCAATTAACCCACATTGTTTATCAATGTCCACAGAATTAAGACGTTTGTAATGTGATTTATAGTATGTTTTTATGAGGTTTGCCACATCCTTAACGCAGTTAATTCTGCTAATGAAGCAAATTTATACTTGTTTGTTTGTCAAATAAATTAAATCACTAAGGTTTTGTCATTAAAGCAAACTATTTTTTATGTGTAATTTACCGGCGTCTTTTGCGGGTTTTTAAAGATTATCATAAGAATGTTAAGGCTAACCAGAGATATCACTGTCAAAGTTTAAGGATGATTTGCTGTTACGTAATTCATTGAGGGATTGTCACTATGGTTTCTTGATCAACATATTAACATCAAATATGCAATATAATTCAAGTAAGATTATCTAGATGTTTATCAGATGAGAAAACTTGCATATATTTCTAAAAAGTAAATACAGTGAAATGATGTTCACATTAATTGGCTTTGCTGACAATCTTCATTTAAGTTGAAAACGACCCGGCGCTGATAAAATGTTGACAATCTCCATTTAAGTTGAAAACAACCGCGCTGAACCTAGATATTTTACAACAGTAAAATGGTGACAAGCTAAAAATTTAAGTTGAAAACGATCCGGTATTGAACCTACTTACGTATTTTTCATGAGGTCTGCCGGTAAAATAACTGATGACAATAGCCGTCACACCAGTCAACAGTGTGATAAATAACGAGAAATACATGTAATGAAAGTTTTTCAAGATGGCGGGACGATTGTCATCTTTACCACAGCCTCCACTACTGTAGTAGACAAATGCCAAGATCATCCGTATAACACCAGTCAGAAAAGCCAACATCAACGCCCAGAATGCTC